TTCGGTTTTGTTTCTGCAAATACATACAACGTCTAGCAGGAAACTCAAAAGATTCTAATGTCTTTTTTACCCACCCAATAATACATATGTATAAGCATAGAATTATGTGACAAAAACAATGAGACGCTAAATATTCGCCAAGCAATGAATTTTGGTTGTTCATCCTCATATCTATATGTAGGCGTATTGATAGGGAGAACGGAGCTCTTAAATGGATTTAATATATATTTATGCAAAAATTCTGCTTACTGTCCGCAATATTCTACATATAAAAACAGCCAGGCAAGGTCGATAGTTAGATACCGCACCCCAAGATCCTAATAAGTAAGGGATCTGAAAGCGTAAACAGACGTGATCAGAGTTTAGTAAAACTAATCCTCTCCTCAAGGATCTTATTATCGTTTGTTACATTTTGTAGTCAAATTTGAACAGCTGCCATATAAAAAGTACTTCTTATAAGAAATGTTATACCGAATGCAGCTCGAAAAATAGGACTAAGTTGTCCAATATGGTACAGTTAGTTTCTATCTCAAATTATTAATAATTTGACGAGAGATTTGAAGAATTTTAGATTTTTGTCGATTTTTCAAAAAGAGGCTTAATATTAGGAATGGTCGCGTAAAGATGAGCCGATCTAATCCATATGTATTAAGGTTCATGCCTGTGTCAAGAGACGTCAATGTACTCGGTTTAGTTAAGGTATCTCTAAAATTGTATGTTGAACGCAAAAATACAAGGACAGACATCACCTGGACAGATGGACAGACTTGCATAAATCGATTCAAGCAGTTTTTCTGAATCGATAATGCACAATAAAAGGTAGGCATACCTGAAGTCATTCTGTGTTTTGCATACATCCGCACAAACCTAATATAGCCTAGGTGTGTAGGGTATAAATATAAAAGAAATACCATTCATTGTATGCCCAAGCTTAGTGGAAAGTCAGTGTAATACGTTGAAATGTCGGTGATTACAATTAGTCATGTCGTGTGTATGAATGAATTTATTTAAAGATATATACTGCACTTTGTATCTAACTTTAAAATCAATCAATAAAATTCGGTTGTTTTACTTCCACACTTCCAAGATTTGAATTCAGTCTTTAATAATTTAAAGTATAATAGTGTTAATCTAATCTAATGTCACACGTCTTTGGGATCACTGCCAAAAGGAAATTATATATACTTTCCTCTAGCAAAATTTTTATTTAGCTTGTTGTTGTGAAACATTTTCCACCAAAAAAAAAGAAATTAGAAAAGTTTCCAATAAATGATAATTAATTATTGTGTACATATGCGTGGATGCATATAAATATATATATATAGTTGTATATTAAGATACATGTACATTGTATTTAATCGCAAGATAAATTTAAAGCCTCCTATGTGCAAAAATGTTCACGAAACAAAGATTGTCTTAACCCATTGCTTTTTATTTTAATAACCTATTATGGACAACCCCTTAACTAAGTGGTTTAATTAACTTTAAAGGGGGAATGTTTTGAGACATATTTTGACAACTTAAAGAACGTTTTTTAAGTCAAAATCTGAGAAAAAACGAAGACTTTTTCAATATTACTTTACTCAAGTATACATGTTTAGACGATTTTTCAATTTACCCGCACAAGAGATTGCTCGATCAACTCAGAATCTTATGAAGTCCATGTATGCCGCGCATGGTATTTAAGGTGTCTTTTCAGATGCAATTTGTTAACATTTGCCATCTAGGTGTAAATGGCCAGTCGGCATATAGGTGTAGACATCATAGGTTAGTTACTTTGGTAAAACGAAACTTTCGATGTTCTCCCTGTTTTTTAATTCTGTTCGTATGTACTAACTACGTATCATTGGGGAAGGCGGAGGAAAAAACAGACGAAAAATTCTTGCTAATCTAAAACATAACGTCTGACTAGCTAAATTGTTACAGTTGGGCAAGGCAGGCTAGTACCCTTTTCCCTTATATAGTTCCAAAACTATTTCTGTTCACATCGGTCAGTCTTTATGCGCGAAATTTAGCTTAGACAACTTGTACGTGAAATCGCTCTTTCGGGCCAACTTTCATCGTAAAACGCAAAAAATTAGTTCTAATTCCCATATAGGCTTATTCTTTGTAAAGTACTTGTAGGGTCTCATCCCATCGATATTTACCATCTTCATTTATGTATGTGAAGAAGTATTAAAAATCACACATTTTGTCCATATAACGATTTTTTGTTCCAACCCAGATAATTTTCAATAGGTTATCCCCGCGTCCCACAAGAAGTCAGTCTACGAAATTTGTTTCGAAATATTTTATTATATATATAATAATATATAACTTCAATTTTTAATGTATTTTATATTGGATAAACTAAATTAACAGACATACAAATTTAAATCGATTCAGAAATTAGATCAATGGATTCATATAATAAAATATAACAGGGACTATCTCAAGGCATTGTGAACATTGTACTCATCCGCATAAATTTAAAATAACCGGTTCACAAGCAGCGTAAGATGTAAAAAAGGAGTTTAAATACTGCATTGAGTCTTTCTGAGAAAATTTCATGCTTGGCTTGAAAACATCGAACTATATGAACGTAACCTTAATGCTTAGTTAATTGTGGAGCGTAGCTTTTATAGAATGCGTAAATTCGCTTACACAAAATATGCTCTGAATTAAAACTTAAGATGACTGCTTTATCGGTCGAAACGTCTTTTTATAAGCAATGATTGGGGCCTCATCATAGATAATAAATCTTGATTGGTAAAGCCGAACACTTAAGCTTGAAATAATGTCTCGCATGAAGATCGCGCAAAAAATTAAACTTCCTGTAAGACTTGGGATGTACTTCGGATCCCATGTTTTTTTTTGAGGGAGCAAATCGAGGATTTACTTAAGGTGGAAGCCAACTACAACAACCTAAAAACAATACCTTACATTACTCTACAGTTATTCATGCAACAACTTTTCAAAATAATGCATTATATGCAAAGTGATCGAAAAAGTGGTTGGATCCGGCCCACTTTTTATAGTTTTCGTCCTTGCGCAAAACACGTCAGTGTACCAAATGTCATCAAAATATCTCAAAAATCACCATTTGTAGAAAACAAGGCGGACTGATAGGCCAATGAAGAAGCTTAAACGGCTCTGAATCGATCGTTAAAAAAGAGGTGGCTCTATGTCAACTTCTTCTGGGATTTGCATGCTTCCGCACAAACCTAACATGCTCTTGTACCACAAGTGTTGCCGATTTTTTTGGGATTGCAGAAAAGGTGGTAAAATAATAATGATTAAGGAAGGAAGAGCAAAGAATAGCAATTGTTTAGTTTCATTTATCATAAAAATCCTATGGACTTCGCTATAGTATGTTATTTTGAGATGACTGAAAAAACTGGCATTAAAAAAATGAAAATTGTAGGGGTTAAGGCGTGGAATGTTTAGATAAAAACTGTCAAATCCCAAGCAATTATGTTCAAAAATTTAGATTTTTCGGACTTTTAAAATTTAGCCACACCCACAACTATCTTTTTATGCCATTCTTGACTATTTAAAGACTCAAATGAAAAAAATTGAATTTCCAAAAAAATTTACAATGGCCCTGCTCTTTAAAAGCAGTTTGTATACTTGTACATTGACGTCAGGGTAGTCAGTTCGTTTCACTAGCATTCATTCCAGCTTTACGGCCCCAATCAGTGTCAATTTGAAATTTTTTGATTTTAAGCTTAAAAATTATTCATAAAGGAGTAGATATCTTTAAATTTTTTATATTCCCTGTAATAGGTCTACTCTTTTTTTTTCGAACACATCCATTTTGTTGTCTCTAGATGTTGTATACGTGTTTCTACGAGAATTCCTCATTTTAATGGGTAAATTTTGTGAACCGTTACAACCGCAAAAATGAAGACGGCAAACTTAAATTGGGGCAAACCTTTCTTGAACGATTAAGAACAATGGTTAGAAAGTCGGCGTGATCCGTTCGCATACAGACCCACAATGCAGAAAAAGCTAAAGAAGTCTCGGAAAACATTTACGTTCACTCCCGCGTATATATCTCTAAAAAAATGCTAACTAAATTTTCAGAAGAATCGTCTACAAGTTCCGTGAGAGAATGGTCCCGATCGGTTGGCTAATACGTCCATAATAGCAACCAGAGAGCAACCCATGTTTAAATTTCATATCCTTAATTGACGACAGAATATATGCATCAAATTTCAGCTTCCTACATTCTTTTTCCCGACTGACACGATTCACAGAATTTACCCGACAAACTGATGGGCTTCATAAGTATATTGTTTTTCCTATGCCCAGCTAATTATTGGGTTTGGTGATCAGGGAAGGTTGTGTAGGATGAAGAAAGGGAATAATGTTTGTAAACGTTAATCAAGTGGTGAGGGCCGGCAGGCAATGGCGGCAACTACATCTACATACTCGCTAATAATGAAATAAACAAATTAACAGAAGTGTGAAATGTAGAATGAAGAAGAAATCATTTTTCGCCCCGCCGTCAGCATAAGAATGGTCTTATTAAAAGGAGTGAGTGGAGGAAAGCTTATGATTTAACAATCAATTCAAATTTTATATAAACAGATTACTTTAAGGTTAATGTGTAATTAATCTGTGGCATATTAAGTAGAGGTGCATAAGTAAAAAGAAAAATCGAAGATAGTAAAAAGAAAAATGTATGATTATACATACATATATAACATAGCATGAAATACGTGTGGACATTACGAGAGCGCTAAAGTTGAGAAAAAATCATGTTGATGGATGCTTTTGAAGGAGGATGATTAAGAATGTAGCCGAGATATTCGGCTAACGTTTTTGAGTAAAATTTATTATAATTATTTAGTTTCAGTTCAGTATACCTACATCAAATACCTACATATATATATATATATATATTTATATATTCGTGCATTATGTATATACATATATTCAAATTTCTTTGAAAAAGTAAATAAAAACCACGAACACAAAACAATATAAATAATAAATTTTAGCAATTTTATGTTTTAGTTCATTTATGAAACTCAACGATTGTGGAAGTGCTTGGAAAATTATAAAGAATCTCAGGCAAGCGTAGCTGCTGGTGGTGTTAGTGTTTTTCTTTCGTAGGGGAAGTGAAATTTTTTAATATTAAATAAAATAATGGTGAGTGAACGTTAAAAAGTTATGGGGAAATGAAGAATGCCTAAAGGAATTTCGAAATGTTTTCATCATTCATGTAGGAAGATGAGGAGAAAATGGCTATAATGCGTAAAGCATTCCAAATGTTTGATACGCAAAAAACTGGATTTATTGAGACGCTACGCTTAAAGACTATTTTGAATAGCATGGGTCAAATGTTTGAGGAGAACGAGTTACAGCAGTTAATAGATGAGAATGATCCTGAGAATACAGGCAAAGTGAATTTTGATGGCTTCTGTAATATCGCTGCCCATTTCCTGGAAGAAGAAGATGCGGAAGCCATACAAAAAGAATTGAAAGAAGCATTTCGTCTTTACGATCGTGAGGGCAATGGTTACATTACTACGTCTACCTTGAAAGAAATATTAGCCGCTTTGGATGACAAATTGTCATCAAGTGACTTGGATGGCATTATCGCTGAAATCGATACTGATGGCTCCGGAACAGTGGACTTTGATGGTGGGTGAGAAAAATGAAAGAAGAAAAAAAGCAAAGTAAATCCTAATAGAAATATTTTCATGATTTTTCATCTATTTTAGAGTTCATGGAAATGATGACTGGTGATTAAACTTCGTTTATATATAAATATGTATGCATATGTATATATATATATATATATATATATATATCAATTTCCAAATTATGTGTATCCGCTTAAGTGTAAATGTGTGTGTGTGTGAAAACAAAAAGCCAAAAACAAAAAACAAAATTATTTATTTCAATAAATCTTCACAGGCCATCAGCTTTCTATGGATATTCATGTGTTTAATCTGTTCCTATGCGTGTGTATATATATACGTGTATTAATGTTCAGGCATATATGATTTTCTAAAGTGGTGGTTGTGCAATTTGTAGGTGGATGGATGGATACATAATGATTTGCGAATCTTTTTTAAGTGTTTGTTTTTGTTTTTTTCTTGCTGTTTTCTGTTCTGAATATCTCTGAAGTGATGAGAAATAAAATCTATTTCAAGTAAATCGCAAACACAAAGGCATCGAAGCGTATAGGTATCGGTAGTGTAATGAAGGCATACATAAACTTAGTATATTCAGGAAGAAAATCGAAATCAATTAAAACGAAATGTACATCTGCCTGCATTTTGAATTGTCCGTATAATCTATGAATTATTGCATTAGACACATTCATTACGCAAATTGACACCGCGGCATGTGAATACTTGAAAATGAATTTCTTAATTAAATTTAACAAATATTAATAAAAATGAATCATGAACTGACTCTTCCGTAAACTTTGGATAGCTTTTCTTTTTTTTTTCGTATAAGCAATTCAAGCAAGCATCATTCTGATACATAACATCAGGAATAAGTCTATTCAAAGAATTATCGAAAGATTCCAGACTGAGTGGTAAGGCATTCCAATATCAGTAGCAACGCGAACAGGGAAAAATCGTTCGGCTGATGAGTTAGACAAAACGTGGTATTAATACGGAAGGGGTTTCTATTCGATGTAGAGAGCTGCAGTCGGTCAATTAAAGGGCTTGGGGATCGAGTTTGAATAACCGTGTTACACGGTTAACAACACTTTGAAGCCTCTATAAGTTATGCCTTGAGCACCGTTAAAAGACTTCAACTCAATTGTTAAAATGCGGCATGAACAGGTAATACGCAATGGGACTTGTTTCTGCAGCTAACGCAATGGTGAAACTTAATTTTATTAGCTATTGTTTATGAAGACACTACACATGCTATGGATTCGGTTAACATAAATATATCAATTCTAACAACATTTTGGGTAAATCACTTATTAGTTGCTGGGAAATTTTGTGTAGAAGATATATGTCTTGAGACTTGTAGTTTAATACTTTACACGATTCTCGTATCGCACTTTCAGAACACTAGGGGAAATATTTGCAATAAGCTTTCGATCAGTATCAATGGCATACTGTTTTTTGCCTCTTGTGATGACGTCCTTGGGATGATAACGGTTTTTTGAAAATTCAATGTGTAGCCATTAAGAAAGGGAGAGAGAGAACTTGTCTTTAATTTCAATTGCAAGATCATAAGTGCGGTGAAAACGATACAATAATGATACTTTCCAGCATATAATGATCTGCAGATATGTTTGATAGAAAATTTAGTTCGCGAATAATGCATGAGTTATTTTCACAAACTAGTTTCAAGGTGATAAAAAAATATTAGTTTTTAGGAACGGAAGAAAAACCAGAAAAAGCGCAGATACCAGCTTGCATCGCCTGTCATGGTCTCTGCTTCTTTCTTTTGTCGCTCTATAGTCTGTGCCCATAGGTTCAGAAGAGATGCCCAGCATGCGAAGGCGTATGAAAAACAAAACCTCAGTTACCATTTTAGCATTTCTCCCAGCCTCTGTCACTGTACCCTCTTCTTCGGTCTTTTTTTTTTTTTCATTTCCTTATGAATCTATCTAAAAGAATAAATCGAGAGATACTGGCTACTATTACATTTGCCATGAAATCTCCCTGTAGACCTGTTTGTTGATTCTATTGCGGATTTGGGATTAATTCAACGTTATTGGTCACCTTGATAGAAGAATATGTCCATACTTTGGACGTGCTGGGTTGAAGCGAAGTCTTGGCTTGGCCTCTTTGTTCCTCTATGCTTAGATTTCACTATGTGCAATTCAGTCTATGAATTATAAAGGCTTCCCATTAATTGTGAATCAAGCGCTTTAATGCAAAAAGACCTGCCTTCATAGATGTTAATAGGTATGTATACAAGATGGGCGAGCAGAACAAATGGTTCCGTATGTAATTGTCTTTCTTTATATACGACCCCTAAGTCTACCACGGTCAGAAATAAGTCGGCAGAGACATATAAGGGGTAGTCGCAGCCTGAGATGTGTGTACCCGATCGATAAGTGTTACGACTTTATCGACCGAGAACTCGCCATACCCACAACTACGTCCAAAATTGAACTAAACTAGCTGGCCATGCGGTAACTACGGCATGCTGTAGGCTCTTTTGACAGATCCATTGTAGGTTAGACATTGTCCAAATTATACGTGATGCGGCAAAGGTTCTCCGTTCTCATGTCGTGTAGTTAAATTGTTTTGGGCTCAAGATTGAAAATTATTTTAATGGTATGTAGGACGTATCGTACATTGCGGTAGCTTCGCACACAGCCTGCCAAAGAAGTAATCTTTGCACGGCAGAAAAGTAAAAATTTGTGGCCGCTGGAAGAGCAGGAAAGAAGATCTTTACGACTTGCTTAGTGCTGAATGTCGATGATACGTGCCACATCTTTTCCAATCTTTCAAAGACTGCCAATTCCTTGAGGGCGAATTTATACATTTGTAGGTCCCTGGAATCTTCCTACATAGGTCTCTTCTCGTTGCGTTAGTTGAAACCGAACTTACAACCACTAGATAAGTGAATTTGATTGCATATTGGCTTTGATTCTTCTTTACTATAACGCTTTCCCGTTGCTGTCCGCGAGTAGCGTCACGTAAACGTTAAGTGTTTCGGGTTTGTAGGTGCATACACTATCAACTTCCGGGTGTCAGCCTCGCTCGTCGTTTGTGGTCTCTTCTTTGTGTACGCTTTTATGATTCACCTATAAAATTATTTCAAAGTCACTTTCGTTTTATTTCCCCGTGAAAAGAAACAGCCGACCTGCCGTTTCCATTCGCGTGTTATAACGCAAGACATCCTCTCCATGGGTCCTCTTTCAAATATGACAGTCCAGAGCAACGTTGCTGTGCTGTTGTGCAGATTCTTTCGTCTTTTAGCAGATAAAACAAAGACTACACCTAAGCACAGCCTGCTCTCATCCCGCTACAATGTTGACCTGGCATCGCAAAGGAGCAACATTTCATTACTGGTCACTCTGCAACAACTTTTACCGAATCAGGCCTACGCTATGGAAAGGCATATAACCTACTTGTCTGCAACACTAGAATGAAAGCTGTGTTCGCCTATATCAATACCCAACACCTTTTTCTTTAAATAAAAAGAAATACAATCTAGTAGCGATACCCTCTAGTAGCGGAAGGGTGTGATTGATTTTTTCATTTTTGTAGAATAGTGGTGGATATTTTTGCCGTTCTATCACATAAAGGATATGAATGATGACCAAAAATTATACATTTTGGCTTTTGAAAACAGATAAGATCTCGATTCAAATTGTATTGTGAGCGTATCCTTTGATCGATTTCGCCCATTTTCAACACAAATTTGCGCGCAACAGCTTCCAATAATTTTGGCGAATTTGAAGTCGATGCGTTAATTTGTGCGATTAGGAGAATGGTTACCACAGATATTATACAGACCGATAGAGCAACAAGCAGAACGAAGGACAAAAAAAAGAGACAAACTGGCCGATACCGATTCAGAAAGTTATGCTGATTAAGATTTCTGAAGATTCCTTCCGGGCATTACAACAATTTTGAAAAAAAAAAAACCAAATTTTGGTACATTATAACACTGGATGGGCGTGGCTGATCCCGTTCTATGTTTGTGAAAATACTATCGCGTTGTCTATACGTGGATGTTTCTACAGTTTAGCTGCTGCGATGAGCAAAAAACCCTGCTTTTTTTTGATTTTGTAAGCAGTGGTTTTCTTAGTCTACTTTTTGTTGTGACTTTGATCAATTCAGAAAGACTTCCAACTTTCTTGCCATATTAGAGCCGGTAAGTGGATGTTTACAGAGAGCGCTTGTGAAGAAGAGGTTTGCAAAAAACATTACGCAGACGGATAGACGGGCAGGCTTAAACCGGTTTTTAAATTTCATACTGAGCAAAAATATATGTACGGCGTCTCTGAAACTTCCCTTTGAGTGTTGCAAATGTCTTGAGAAAAGGAACATACCCCGCGCTTCGTTGTTGGGCATAACAAAGAATTAACTTTATGCGTTCCGGGCAGTCTATGAGTGCGCGAGTTGCATGTTGTTTGATGCAATACTAATTGTTTGCTCACACATCATTAGCGTATAATGCATGCATGTGTACGCTTGTAAATAATCGCTGTTGTACTTCAAGGTATACTGTTAATACGTATATGTGTTCCTATACGCATCTGTTCTTCTTCTCGCTAATGCTTTACATATCATAAGAGTGTGTGTGTGAAGACATATATGCATCTACCATTACGCCTATTATTAGTTTAGAGTACGGTAGTGAGCACTACTATTAGACATCAAACGCGGTTGATCGTGTTGCTAACTAAAGAAACATGCAGTTGCTACACCATTCAGCGCAGTTGTTATGTACACTTAATGCAACTTTTTACTTGTTAGTGATTATAAAAATGCAAGCAGTGGATACGGTCGTATGTGTGATTTTGTGTACACTTCTTGCAAATCAATTAAATGTAAAGTTAACGAGTGTTATGCATACTCTTGATCATTATTGCAATGTAAGCCCGTCTTGACCTTAAGGTTTACAACCAGTTGTTCTTCGTTGTACGATACAAAATTAGGGTTGTTTGTTGTGTTTATACTGCGCTTATTGAATTATATTTTTGCATTTAAAATAAATCTGACACATTACAAAAATACACAAATAGGTATACACAAGATTTTTGAATCGGGCTATATATCGAACATCTATGGGGTGATGCCGACTACTTTTGCAGGATTTTAAATCGAGATGTGCTGCAAATTTTGACGCCCGCTTTCAGTTTTCGTTATCAAATTGGCTCAAAACTTGATGCGATCATAGGGATCGTACAGATGATCTTACATTCGATGTCGAGCAATATTCCTACCTTATCGAGTGCCATCAGCTGACTACTCCTTAAAAATTGTTTTATAACGAGAA